GCCGGAGGGCGTGGCTACGGTGCCATTCACTTCAATGGCCCGCCACGCCCCCTCCTGCCCCACAAAAAAGTGAGCTGGCTGCAATGTGATGCAGTGCGTTCCAGACAGAATCAGACTTGAACGCATTGCATCTGGTGTGAACGTACCCTTAGCTGAAGATCTGTTTGAAATTTGCAAGCACTTCAAAAGTTTCATTTATTAAAGGCAGGCTTGGACGTTTGTGGGATTTGTTGAAATTGACAGTACAGTAAACTCCCCATTTTCTGGCATTCAAGCAACCAAAACTCTCAACCAGAAAAAATACATTTATTTTGTTGCTAATTAAATTCTCTATTTACATCTTGTTACGGCTGACAGCTAGATTCCGGAGCTGGCAGGTGAATGCAAACAATTGGCATGTGCAATAGCCTGCCTGCTATCAGCTATGGCAAATTGAAATAGCCAGTAGCTGAATAGGGCGGGGGATAGGGGTTGTTGTTTGAGAGTTAATAGTAACTCTCAAGTAACCAGAAACTACAGTTATACGTCTGTGAAGGTTCTCATTCATCTAGGTCATGATATATCTGTAAAAAATAAGTCAAGGCAACTGGACTTGCTAAGACTCTCAGACTCCCTGTCTGCTTATAAGCCAGCAATACACTGAGGCAACAACTGGTTCACCCAAAAGACCCAACGCCGAAACACAAGATGAACAACATTGTATATGCAGTCCAGTGCCGTGAGGAGTGCTCAGAATTGTATGTCGGTGAAACAAAACAGCAGCTACACCAGTGTATGGTACAGCATAGAAGAGCCAAACCCTCTGGTCAGGATTCGGCAGTGTACCTACACCTAAAGGAAAAAGGTCACTTCTTTAAAGACAGTCAAGTACACATCCTAGACAGGGAGGCGGACTGGTTTAAAAGAGGCGTGAAAGAGGCCATGTATGTAAAAATGGAGAAGCCAAGCATGAATAGAGGTGTTAAAATGGAGAAGCCAAGCATGAATAGAGAGGGGGGGGTGAGACATCTATTGTCTGCCACATACAATGCTGTTTTAACACCTCTCTCTAGGCAACTTATTAATACCTCATAGACTCCCAATTATGCAAATGCATCAACACCTGGTTGCGACTAACAGATTATGTGGATTGGAGCAACATTCACCATATTTATTTTTGTACAAGTCATTCTGAATTGAAAAAGCTGGTTAGATGTCCAGTGAAACGTCTTCAAGAAAAATACAGCAAGTCCAGTTGCCTTGACTTATTTTTTACAGATATACAGTTAAACGGCATCTACCAATCCCCAAGGATACATGTACATTTAGAATTGTTGACAATACCTTTCTTTTCCCTGCCTCTCCACTGCAAGTGTTGATTTATCATTGCTGCCATTAAGTATTCCCACATCTTATTAAATATTTACTGTTCTGCTTCTAAACAACTGTTTATTCACTGTTGTTAACTGAGTATGTGAATTTTTTACAGTATGCAATTAATATGGTGCCTCCTTGGTGGCTGACAGCAAGTATCAAATGTTTTAGGACCCAAAGTACATTTTTCTGGTCAATTAATAATGCCAACACATAAAAACATCCCAGAAACAGGACACAAAAAATTTAACTGCACTACGGTGCTTTGCAGCTCGCTGCAACATACAGTATGTGTGTTGGGGTGCCATTCAAAATGAGAAGTAAGATGAAGAATTAATGAGAGAAAAAGAGAAGTGTTAGCATATCATGGCACTGGTAACCCCTATGACAGAATGTTGCCACTTTAACTGTGATGCTATGTGGAAAGATACATGTACTTGTATACAAACTAGGAATCAGCAAAGTGATTTATCAGTGAAATCAGTGATTCTATCTTCACCCAAATTTCAGCAAAATTTGATTTAAATTTTGTGTGTTGACTGGTTAGATACTTTTTGCTTTATCTAAGGCTGGGCACACACCTTACAACCATCGCAAGACTTTTGTCTTGCGATGGTTGTAAGGTACTTAAAAAAACGTACGATCTGCCTATCTTGGACAGGCAGATCGTACTTGCGATGATCACAAGCGACGCCCCCTGAGGGGCGGGCTTCCGATGATCGCAATGCCGAACGGGCAGTGTGCACTTGCGCACACCGGCCCGCCAGGCTTTTATCTTATGAACATGCTACACACCCGCCGAACATCGTACGGTGCTCGGCGGGTTTTGAAACATGTTCGTAAGTTTAAAGTTGTGCGACCTTACAGTAGTAGAGGTCGCACGGCTTCCACACACCTTACGATAATCGTACGATCGCGGGATTTCCCGCAATTATCGTACAATTATCGTAAGGTGTGTGGGGACCTTAAGACCCCATTCACACTGAGCGATTTGTAGCCCGATTTCAGCTCAAAAATCGCTCAAACATCGGCTCAATATAGCTCGTCCAATGCATTTCAATGGAGCTGTTGACATCTCACAGCTCAATGTCACCTGTAGCTTTTAGCTCAAGCTTGTCGCTTGAATATGACCTATTTTTCGGCGGATTTCATGCGATTCGGCCCAATAGACTTCAATGGTGTAGCTCAATGTTGTGCGACATTGCGCTACAGAAGTGTCACTTTGGCACAGAAATATAAGCAGGAAACAGGAAGAGGAATTATGTCATATCAAGACCGCATTTGATTGGATACAGCCCAATGTAGCAACTTCGAAATCCATGCCAAAAGTAGCGCTGCATAGCGTGACAAAATGTGCACTGTAGCTCAGCTCAAAATCACGCTGAAAAAAGCTTTTTTTTTATGTAGCTCAGTGTGAATGAGGTCTTAGTCATATGGTCACCATGCCAGTACGTATATGGTGACCACTGGCTGTGTTGATAAACCAAGCCATGTCACTGAAAGGCTTTGTGTATCACTCAATGCACACCTAGAAATAAATACTTGGGAGACCTTGTCACCAATTGCAGACAAAAGCACAGAAAAATCATTTGAAACGCTTACTTGCAGTGTTTGTTTATCTTTCAATAAATAATTGTATGTAGCTATCAGGGAGGGGTGAAGGGAAATACAATAGAGAGTTTCTTTAGTGATAGCTCTGTGTCTCCTAGGACTGCTAATATCATATCCAAGATGGTGGCACCCAGCAGCAGTCTCAGAGGTAACGTTTGTCTACAAAAGGTAACTTTTACAGGTAAATAACATGTCTGAAATATGTTAAATGTTCATATAATCTTATGGGAAGAGTTTTGCTGAAATTAATGGTCTGGTGACAGAATCTCTTTAAAGGGAAAGTCAACTTTCAAAAAGAAAATAATCAATTCACACTTCTTCATAAAAATGAATTAATTTATTTTGCATAGGAGCCAGTAAAGCATTGCAACAGTGATCGGTAGATCACAGGTGCAATGCTCTGGCTCCTGTAGACTCTTTCCTGTCCATGTTGCTCAATGGGCATTCAACAACATGGACAGGACGAAGTACGAGTAGACTATGGGTGCAATGATGTCACTGCTCTTGTATTCCATTGAGAACTAGTTACATAGTTACATAGTATTTGAGGTTGAATAAAGACATTAGTCCATCAAGTCCAACCTATTAGGATCTCATTCTAGGAGTACCCGTACCCCTGTATATTACGGTCCCTTAAGAAATCGTCCAAAAGTTTCTTGAACAATTCCACATTATTTGCTGAAATCACCGCCTGTGGCAGTGAGTTCCAGACCCTAACTGATCTTACTGTGAAGAACCCCCTTCGCCCCTTGTGCTGGAATTTTTTTTCCATCAATTTTAGGTTATGGCCTCTAGTTTTTGTAACGGAGTTAATTTTAAACAGTTTATCGCTAATGTTGCTACCACCATTAAACATTTTGTACATGGAAATCATATCCCCCCTTAATCTCCTCACCTCCAATGTGAACATGTTTAAATTTAGTAGCCTCGTCTCGTAGCTCTGGTCCTCCATACCCCTAATTAGTTTGGTTGCCCTTCGCTGGACTTTTTCCAACTCAAGGACATCTTTTCTTAGTACTGGTGACCAGAACTGGACCGCGTACTCCAGATGAGGTCGAACCAATGATCTATAAAGTGGCAAAATTATAGACTTGTCCCTGCAATACATCCCCTTTTTAATACAGGACAAGACCCTGCTAGCTTTGTTTACAGCAGCCTGGCACTGCAAACTACCTTTCAGTTTGTGGTCTACAATGACCCCCAAATCCTTCTCCATTTCTGACTTCCCCAGCGGCATACCCATAATTGTATAACCCATTTGTTTATTTTTAATTCCAAAGTGCATTACTTTGCATTTATCGACATTAAACCTCATCTGCCTCATAAACCTCATAAAGCCCCTCTGTCTTGGTGGCTGATGGGGTGTGTTGTATTCATTGACAGATCCTGTCAAAGGATCTGTGAATGGATAACACAGTTTTGTGGATAGAGCCACGCACAGCCGTGCCAAATACAAAATAATTCCTTGGTGACCATGTTTTATATGGGTGTACCATGAAATGTGGTCTAAAAGGTGAACTCAGCCTTTAACAACTATGGGGTAAGTGTTTTTCCCCAAAGTTCTCTTAAGGGTCACGGGAGGACATATACTAGCTTCCTCCCGTGACCCAAAGCTTAGTATATCGTGGGCTACAGATCGCGGTATACTGAGACCACCGCAAACGGGACGGATCCCGACATTGCTGTCGAGATCCACGCAGCTGCGTGAGTGACAGCTGGCTCTGGCTATCTAGCTGTACCCACCCCCTCCCCGTCCGTTTCTCCAGTCAGCGCTGGAGGATCGGAGCGTGGAGGGGGGGGAATCTCTGCAGGGAGCCGTGACTGACAGCTCTCTGAAGGGTGATGATCGAGAAGTGAGCGAGCGACGTTATGCGTTCGCTCACTTCCTGATCTATTGAGCCGATGTGTAACAGTTTCATTGTCACACGGCGGCTCGAACTATGAGGATGAGTGATTTTCACTCACCTCATATTTCTCCTTTAAAGAAGACAGTTCCAGTTGTGAAAAAAAAGTTTACTACAATGCTTTTTTTTATTTAAAATTTGTTTTGTCTGTAATTAGAAGTGAGAGCTACTGACACTATACTTGTTTAGCACTGAAGTTGACATTAAAATGTTGTATTTTTACTGGAAAGTAATGTTTTATTTGGAAAAAAAGAAAAATTACATCTTTGATTTTCTTGAGAAGAATTGCTGTATGGCAATGAGAGCGTCCTCAGAATTTGCTCTTTTAGAGAGAAGCTCCATCTCTTCTTCACATACAGCGTGAAGTCTCTCTTTATCCACATTGCGAACCAACTGTTTCGACAGAGCCAAACACTGATAAAAAAAAGACAGCAGTGTTACCTTGGTACATCTATGTACATTGGTATAGTTCAACATTTTCTGTATAATATTTGCAAATACATTTACCAACATCAATCATTAATTAATAACTGCCGGTTTAGAGTAAAACTAAAATTGTTGAAGCTCATATCTAGCCAAAAATTGTTTAAAGCTTAGTAGCAGAGCACTTTAATTTGCTGCATGATGACACGATACATAATAATTACACTGTCTGACGTGCGGATTATTAAAAGGACATACTTACAAACCATCATTACATTTGACCATGAAAATATGGAATAAATACATAGAAAATGTGTTAGGGGTGGGGTAGGCAACCTCGTTGTGAAACCCTAAATCCCATCATGCCTTTGCCATGGAAATTCTTGTAGTTGCAAAACAGTTGGAGTAGCAAGGTTGCCTACCCCATGCCCTGGTTTAGGGAAACCTTTACTGTAAGGGCCCATTCACACTATTGTGCTCTGTTAATGCGTGAAAATATGCATCTTTTATCACGTTACCAGAACATGCTGCAATATGTTACACACAGAGTGAGTGGCACCTCAACACACCTAGGCAGTGCAGCACAATGCACTGTTGTGCACCACAATACAGTGAGTCCCTACATACAAACATTCAAGTTGCAAACTTTCAAAGATACGAACATGTGTTCGCATGTCCAATCTTGTAAGCTAGTTCACATGTCTGGCATACATTGTCACATGTGTGTGCTTTTGTGTACTTTACTGTACAGTTCCGTATAGAGTACAGTATCTTTATTTAAATCCCAGGATGTCCGGAAGAAAGCGTAAAAGTAGCAGTGATGTAGCTGGGCACCTAGGCTAACTTTGTTGGACTTACAAACAAATTGGACTTACAAACACGCTCTCGGAACAGAACCTGTTCGTAAGTAGGGGACTTGCTGTACACAGATGTAAACCATCTGTGCATTTTGGTACACTGTGTAAAAAAAAAGTAGCACATGCCCTTTTTTTCCATACCTCAAGGTGTGCTGCCAACCCATTTAAAATTATTAGGGTACCTTAACACAGCATATGTTATCACTTGGTAACGTGTGTTACTGTATCATGTAGTGTGAAAGGGGCTAACACTATTTGCAGCCAAATTAGGATAACACTTACTTTACATCCGTTACATGTTCCCATTCACGTAGCATAACATACATTTTTTTTGACAGTTGCAGCTTTACCCTTTTTCGATGATGTTTCTGCAGACTCCGGGACTAAAAAATCCTGCTTAGTTCTCAATGTCTGGGGAGTTGGGGAGGGTTTTGTTTCAAATAATAACAGAATTTATTATCACTTATAAAGTAGATGAGGAGTACTGTCTGTCCTACGGTTAAGGACCTGCTAATGAACTTATTAATAAACTGTCCCTCACAGGCATCTATTCTAACCACTAGAAGCTGCTTCTAGAGTCCTATGTATAATTCTGTTCCAAAGTAGCAGCTAAAAAGGTAAGACATCTCTTTGTAGGTATGCTGTGTGAATGGGAATGCATAACAAACATTTAGAGGGGGTTTCTTAAACTTGGCTGTAAAAGTGGAAATACTTAAAAGTAAAACTTACAGTTTTAGGGTTGGTGGCATACGATTTCAGCCTTGCCCAAACTTCCTGCTGAAAGGTGCTGTCTGGAAAAACTTCAGTGACCAGTCCAAGGTTGCAAGCTTCACGGGCTGTTAGTGTCTTGTTGAACAGTAGAACCTCAGTAGCCTACAAGAAAATATATGAAAGTGTGTGTAGTGTAGATAAAATTAAGCAACACTGTTTATCACTCTTGAAAATCTTCTATGAAAAGGGGAAATAAAAGTAAACATTCATGTATCCTTTTTCTAGGTATAAAACAGATGTCCCCACCAGCTTAAAGTGACATTAAACCATCAGATTTTTTAACATAAACCAATACTGTAATGTGTGCCTTACTGTAATCCATGGTAGTTTCCCTTCTCTTTGCTGCTCTTCCTTTTAAATCCTCATGTCTTCTCATGCTTGTGGAGAACTTCCCTTTTCAGCTGAGTGCCTCTTCCTGTAGTGCTGGCTCAGGTTACAAACCTATACAAACCTATACACAGACACCGTGTATCCATTCCTCAGACAAGGCAGTCTGCTGCAAAACAGAAGTTCTGCAGAGCATGAGAACAGACACATATTTAAAAGGAAGAGCAGCAAAGAGAAGGGAAACTACCATGGATTACAGTAAGGCACACATTACAGTATTGTTTTATGTTAAAAAATCTGAGGGTTTAATGTCACTTTAAGGAAGAAGTCTCACCAGAGAAGGAAGAAGCCTTTTAAACCCCCCCCCCCCCCCCATCCCAGGCACCCAGGGCACATTGCACTTGGCCCCATTTAAATCTGTGCTGGAGTTGATGAGCAGTGTTGTCGGACAGTGCACCCCCTCCTACCGCCGCTTTCTACCAAGGCTGGATGACTGACAACGCAGAGGAGAGGGGGCATGACAGGTAATGGACATAGAGCCCACACAACCCTTGCTTCCTCCTCCCCTGAAAGGAATATCTTCATCTTTGCAATGCAGCACTGTGCTTTCTCTGATATCTTCTGCCAGCTTCTTTGAAGTGACAATAAATACTGATCCTGGATCCACCTACAGCTATTCAGGGGGATAAAGAGTGGAGTAGCATCTGTTGGCCTGAGTTATTGTGAATGTCAGCAGCTACTCTACCCTATCCCCTGAATTGCGGGTGGTGGGTGGCTGGTCTAGGCAGTATTTAGTTTTTTACTTCAAAGAAGCTGCCAGAGGAATTTAGAGAATGCACAGTGCTTCACAGCAGAGCTGAAGATGTTCCATCTGGAAGCATCAGGGGAAGAAGAAGCGGAAATTATGTGGCCTCTCCTTTGTGAACTGTTACACCCAGATAAGGTG